ATCGTGCTCTTCTTTGATCCTGTAAATTCACTTGTTGTGGAGCGCTTTCTTGCTTGGTGGTAATTCAACTAATTCCCACGTCTGATTTGACATAAGCGAGTCCAACTCATCTTTCATGAAAGACTCCCACTTGACTGAATCCTCCACTTGCATTGCTTCATCATAGCACTCTGGTTCACCATTGTCAGTCAGCAACAAGTAGTGCAAAGAAGACGAATAACGTTGGGTTGTTTTAGAAATTATGGAGGAGCGTCTTAGTTCTGGTGTGTCTGGTTCTTCTTGAACTGCTTCAGGACTGATCTGAACATCATTTCCAGAAATCTCCTCGAATTCAACAAATTCCTTTGTTTCAGCTTCGATATTTGAGCTACTTGATTCTACAGTTGACTTGTCTTTGTACATCACATTCTCATTGAAAATGACATCTCTGCTTCTAATGATCTTCTGATTTTCATAGTCCCAAAACCGGTAACCGAACTCATCACCGCCATAACCAACAAATGCACATTTGTTGGACTTAGCATCAAGTTTACTTCTTTCAGCAGAGTCTATGTATACATAAGAAATACAACCAAACACTCTTAAGTGTGAAAGGTTTATTTCTTCCGTGCTCCAAACTTCCTCTGGTATTTTGCCATCCAAAGGAACTGAAGGCCCACGGTTGATCAGGTAAGCTGCAGTGTTGATAGCTTCAGCCCATAGAAATTTAGGCAATCCGGCATGTATCCTCATGCTTCTGGCACGTTTATTCAGAGTTCTATTTATGCGCTCTGCTACGTCATTCTTCTGCGGTGCATGGGAACTGTTGTCTCCATCTTGATCCCATTGTTTGCGCAGAAATCTCTGAATCTACTATTTTTGTACTCTCCTCTATTGTCAGACCTCAACCGCTTGACTTTCAGACCAGTCTCATTTTCCACCATGGCCTTCCATTTTCTGAAGGTATCAAAGACTTTTGATTTCTTCTTCAGAAAATAAACCCACACCTTCCTTGTAGAATCATTGATGAAGGTGAAATAATATAATGAGCCTGCAAGAGATGAAACTGGAGATGGTCCCCATACATCAGTATGAACCAACTCTAACTTTTCAGCCTTGGATGTCTTATCAATCTTTGCAAAGCTGACTTTCTTTTATTTTTCAAAGATGCAATCCTCGCATAGTCCGACATCTAAATTCTTTAGATCCGATAGCTTCCCTTTTAACAAAAGTGTCTTCATCCCTTTCTCGCTCATATGGCCAAGCCTTTGGTGCCATAGGTTTGATTTTCCATCATCATCTGTGGTTGCAATGATATTATCTAAATTTGAGGTTACATAGAGAGTACTAGTCTTCTTACCACGAGCAATGACGAGTGCTCCTTTGGTAATCTTCCATTCACAGCCTGAAAATGTTGTACTATATCCTCCATCAAGCTGTCCAACAGAAATCAAATTTATTTTGAGACCAGGAATATATCTCACTCCTGTTAGCTTCCAGGTGGTCTGGTTTGGCACCTTTAATCTATTGTCTCCTTTTCCGACGATCTTCAATGTTTCATCATCAGCTAGATGAACCTTGCCAAAATCACCACTGACATAGATCTCCATGATTTCTCGGCATAGGGTGGAGTGAAAAGATGCCCCTGAATCCAAGATCCATGATTCAATTGGACTGTTGACGCTTAGAATCATGGCATCACCTGTCTCCTCTGTCATGTTGGCAGAATCCTGTGTGCCGGTATCTTTCTTCAGTGTTTGGCAATCTCTTTTAAAGTGACCCTTCTTGCCACAATTATAACAGGTAAAATCTTTCTTTCCCGTTCTGGATTTTCCCCGTGTGGATTTTGATCTGCCACGATTTGAATTTCTTTCTGAAGTTCTCCCTCTGGACTCCGTGTGCATGCTGAGGAGGTTGATGCTTCACCCGATTCTCTTCGTCGAATTTCTTCACTCAATAACAGATCCCGAACATCGTCGAATTTTAATTTGTTGTTTCCCGACGAGCTGTTGACTACTGTAACAGTAGCATTCCAACTGTCTGGTAGAGATGATAAGAGAATTAAAACTCAAACTTCATCATCGAATTCAATTTCCACTGAACTCAACTGGGTTGTGATTGTGTTGAGTTCATTTAAGTGTTGTGCCACCGATGCCCATTCCGCCATCTGCAAATTGAATAATCGCCTCATCAAATGAACTCTATTTGAGGCCGATGGTTTCTCATACATACTGGAGAGTGTCGCCATAAGACCCGTCGTGGTCTTTTCCTTTGCTATGTTGAAAGCAACATTGCGGGATAACGTCAGTAAGATAACTCTGAGGGCTTGTCTGTCGAGAAGAGCCCAGTCTTCATTTTTCATGCCCTCTGGTTGCTTTCCTGAGAGGTTAATATAGATTTTTCTGGTACAGAAAATTTTCAATCTGCATCTTCCAAAAGCCAAAGTCCGCACCATCGAACTTCTCAATTTTCACATTCCCTTCATCTGCAGCCATAGCTCCCACTCGAATCTGGCTTCGTTTGGATCGTTTATGACAATTCTTGCGAACCACCATGTATTAAAACACCTCCGTCGACAAATTTGTATCGCTGACAAAATTTTACTATTCACGAAATTTACTATTCATGAAATTCACTATTTATGTGAATAGTAATAAATAGTAACCTCGCAAAAAATTGACAAAATTCACAACCAAAAGCTCTGATTACCAGTTGTTGGGAAATAAAACGAGTAACAAGTAATTTTCCTATAACCAGATTAGTGAGAATGCGAAATAAAAGCGGAAAAATAATACCCGAAATTGATAACGGAGTTCAGCCAATTTTGCTTACGTCTCCGGACTGCTGCAGATCTTTTACTAAGAGAGAAAATTTACAGTTGTTTACAAAACACTCACTTAGAAAGCTCTCTAGTAATGGGAGAAAGAAATGATTTTTTTGGGATGATTTTGAAGCTAAATGGGTTAGGATATTTATAGTTGAAGCTTAGGGACTAATCTTATAAATACCCTAAAGTACAATGACTAAATGTAATTTTACCCATTACCATTTTCAACAGACATATATCAAACTTTGAAAACCAATTTCAAAGTGCGGTGCCAACTTTGAAAACCCATTCCATGTGTGTTGCGCCTTTTCCTTTGTTAAAAATGCAGCCTCTTTCTTTGACTTTAACAGAGTAGGAATCCGATGATCGAGCAGAACACTTGTTATAGGATGCAGTGGGGAACTTCGTTGCGTTGTGAAGGTTGGAAGTCCAAGGCTGAGGATGAGACTGGTGAGTTTGGTGCTTCTTTTTTTAATTGAATTTATGAAAAGATGTGATTAGCTTATTGGATTCTTGTGCTTTTATATGCAACATACTAAATCAAGAGGTTTTTGTTGGATTTGCATTAGAACATTTGAAGTAATTTTTTATATATAAAATATATGTATTATATCCAATGAATAAACAAGCTTTCCTACAAAACCTATTAGAAGGAATAAATTCAATCCATGTACCCCACGTTATTCAAAATTGCGGGTCTAGTTTCGGCCTGTCATTTGAAGTGATTTGTTGATAGTTTGCAGTTAACTTTTACTTCTATCTAGGACACGGTTATTTTATAAATATTTTTTTATATTTTCTATTGATAATCTGTTTTAGTCCCTTAAAATTTTATAAGTTCATCCGGTAACATATAATCTTGCGCCCATCTCTCGACATAAGTGTGATTCTAATTGATTTTTTCTTGTACCATCTTATTGGTAGTGGAATATTTTGGTTTGGGATTAAGTCCTGTTGGATTTGTTTGTGTTTGATGTATGTTTGTTAATTCTAGACTCTAGGATTAGTGTGTTTCAGAATACAAATTTTTATTCTTTGTGAATTTATTCATCTGCATTTCATGGAAAAAGAGTATGGTTATAATCTATTTTTTGTAAGTTGATCCACATATTTGTAGGATCATAACCCCAAACTATTAGCAAAATATATGTCTGAAAGGGGTCCTATGTACGAGTACTTCAAGGAAAATAAAGAATCATGGTAACAAAGGGCTGCTATGCTGATTTGTAAATGCAATTTCCTGCCATTTTGTTTCTGCGTTTTGGATATTCTTTGTCGTTTAAGTAATGGACCGTGGCATGTTTTCTTGTGATATTGTGATAAACTTTCGTATGTGACTTGAGATTTTATAGTTAGTATGTTGGGTTTTGTCGGCTGCGAGGAAAATGCTACTGTTTCTGTAACTTGCTTCTTCAAAATCTCCTTTTTAGATTTTATGGGTTGCAATTTTACTTTGGGTTTCATCAAAATATTGGTATATGTAATTGGAGGCTGATAGGAGATATTGGTTGCCCAAAATACTTTTTAAACCTATTAGATCTGCTTTGTAGCTAAATCATATTGTTCTAGACCTCTCTTTGACTACAAAAAGAGAGAAAGTAAGTAATCAGGAAGTTTTCTTCTCTCATTTGGTAAACTCCCATAGCATGTGTCTCCCTCTCTTTTCTTCCTCCTCTTGCATCCTTGATTTGCCTCTATTTGAAAGGCTGCGGAATGCCAATATGCTGTTTTGAATTGATTGTGACGGTCTTCTTTATTTTCATCCCCGATTCTCATGCGCCCACAAAATTGTCTATTCTGCAGTTGACGATCAGGTCAAATGTGAGAAATGGATACGGGATGATAACGATGGTTCTAAGGAATCTAATGCAACATGGTGGTTGAAAAGGTTAATAATCGGTCGAACAAAGAAGGTGAATGTTGACTGGCCTTTCCCATTCACCGAGGGCAAGCTTTTTGTATCGACTCTTATTGCTGGTTTGGGGGGCTACCATGTTAATGTTGATGGGAAGCATATTACTTCTTTTCCTTATTGGACTGTAAGTTAGATGGAGTAAACTTAATATTATTTTCTTGTCTGGCTTCTTTTCTTATATGATTTGATCTTGTTGATAGGGGTATACCCTTGAGGATGTTACTGTACAAACTTTGAACGGAAACATTGATGTCCACTCTATATTCGCATTGTCTTTGCCTACATCACATCCTAGTTTTTATCCTCAAAAGCATCTTCAGATGTCCAATAGATGGAAGGTTCCACCACTTCCTGAGTGACCTGCGGATCTGTTTATTGGTATACTTTCCGCAGGCAATCATTTCGCTGAGCGAATGGCTGTGAGGAAGTCTTGGAAGCAGCATAAGTTTGTTAAATCTTCAAATGTAGTTGCTTGTTTCTTTGTGGTGATGGTAAGACTAATCCTGGACTTGAGGTTCGCTATTTTCACACCTGAAATTCTTTTTTTTACCACCACCTCTATATGTTTGGGTAGAATGCAAGAAAGGAAGTGAACGTAGAACTGAAGAGAGAAGCAGAATTTTTCGGAGATATCATCATCGTGCCATATATGGACAACTACGACCTTGTCGTGTTAAAAACTGTTGCAATCTGTGAATATGGGGTGAGTAAAATTGTTTCCATGTTTGAAGAAATGAATGTTAAAAACTTTCACGAGATTGTTTAAAGGGTTTGTTCGAAACAGGCTCGTGTAGTGGCTGCCAAGTATATAATGAAGTGCGGTGATGACGCGCATTCGTGAGAGTAGAGGCATTTCTTAATGAAGCAAAGAGAGCACATCATGATCGCAGTTTGTATATTGGAAACATCAACCATTACCACAAGCCCTTGGTAAATGGGCAGTAACTTATGAGGTATGCATCGTTTCCTGCTATAGTTTATTTCGGTTCTTGAGTTGAGTATAATATAGTATGGATCATGGATGGTTTGGCTTATGGAAAGATCAACCTATAAAGATCGCAATGCTCTTGCATCAAAGATTTTTGCTCCCTTTCAACCCATATCCATAATAATGACGATGAAGTTGAGCATTTCGATATGCATATAACATGGTTTTGTTTTCGGCTCCAGATTCTAACATTTAACCCCTTTCTTTATTCAGGAGTGGGCGGAGGAAGCTTATCCGCCGTATGCGAACGGGCCAGGCTACATATTGTCATCTGACATTGCTCACTTCATCGTCTCTGAATTTGAAAAGCACAATTTAAGAGTAAGTTAACAATGACCTCTCCCATTTTTCCAAGACCCTGGTGTTGGGGTGTTGGAATATAAGACTGTAAAAGAACTGAACCGTTTGTGAATCATTTGATAAAATTTTTGTTAACGTTAGTTTATTTATTAAACAAACGAATATAAATAATATTTTATTTTCATTTAATTAAACGAACGAACACGAACAAAAGGTTTGTCCATTCATTTATATTTGTAAATGTTCGGTAATCTATTCATTTATATTAAGTCTGAAGTTGCAGCTTATATTTATGTGGTTATTGATGTTTTGGTTTGTCTGTTTATGTTTGTTTAATTTTTGTTTTTGCTTATATTTCATTATTTTAACGAACGAACACGAACAAATTGTATTCTTTAATGAACGAATACGATGAAGAAATTATGTTAGTTCAATTGTTTGTGTTCGCTTATTTATTCTGTTAAAATTAAATGAATGAACGTATTTTATATTTTCGTTTGTGTTCTTTCGGTTCGTTTACATGGATATTGGGATATATTAGAAAAATGAAAAATGTGCAGTTGTTCAAGATGGAAGATGCGAGTATGGGGATGTGGGTGGAGAAATTCAACAGCATAAAAGAGGTGGATTACGTATAGAGTTTGAAGTTCTGCCAATTAGGTTGCATAGAATATTATTATACAGCTCATTACCAGTCTCCAAGACAGATGATGTGCATGTGGGACAAGTTGCAAAAGCAGACAAGGCCTCTATGTTGTAATATGAGATAGTGTCTCCTTTTTTTAATAAATATTTGGCTACACATTCTTGGCATCACTCTCCATTTTGCACTCTGTAAATTTTGGACATTTTGGGTTAGTTGTCTTAATTCAATTTTATTCTTTAATACTAGTATAGATAATTACTATAAAACTGGGTAAACTATACCTATGATCTGTTAACTATTATCCCTTTTTTTCATTTTAATCATTATTCTTTTTATTTTTTTAATTAGATTACTTAACTATTTAAAAGTTCCAATCAAATTATCTAGGTAATGTGTTTATTAAGAATATATATAATTGCATATTTTTGTTATTTACATTTATACATTTTATAAATTTAATCTTAATTATAATTTAAATAAATTTAATTTCCAATTAAATGATAACATGTATCATTATATATTATTATATTAAATTTAATATATACGTATATAACTATTCATAAAAATATATAATATTACATTATAATTAGTAAATAAAAATTTAAAAATATATATGTTATTAAAAGTTTTAAAATATATTATAATTTGTAATTAAGGTGATTTTATACTTACGTAGAATATCAAGTTTGAGTTTCTTTACTATCATTTTCAACTTTTTTTGTCGTTAACTAGGATAACATATATATAAGAAATATTGTCACCTAATTGAGTGATTTAGGCGATGATACGTATAATCCCTTAATTTGTGATATTTAATTGGATATTAAATTAAATTAATTTTATTAAAATTAGGATGGAATTAATGAAATGCGTAAATATTAAATATCAAATATGTAATTATATCTGTTTTTAATAACCGTGGTAGATAATTAAGTGGTTTAATTAAAAAATATAGTAAAAATGAAAAAATAATAAATAAGTGCTCGTAGGTATAATTTAACTAAAAATAAATCCCCGTGAAACTGTAGACTGTAGTGGTTGAGATTTGTACTTGCTTATGGTGTTTTATTTCCCAGAAAAAACAAGCATTCCTTTCGCTTTTTCGCCTTGCTTTCTTCAACATCTCCTCACACAAGAAAGAAAAAATTATTTGTTTTACAAGTTCTGTTGAACCCGATCTTCTCATTGTCGAAAAATATGAGCTGTCCGTTTCCAGTGAACTAATTTTTCATGCGTGATCGTTGCTTCCAGTTTTATCATCATGTTAAAAAAAATTAAATTTAATTGATGGATTTAATATTTATATTAAATTTATATTCCTTTTGATTATAGCAAGTTAAATATATTATTTAATTTAAATATTAGTAAGATAATTACTCTTTTAATATGTAAATTTAAAAATTTATTTGTTATCTTTTTTTATTTTTAATAATTATATACTTTTATATATTTCAAATTAAAATAATATTTATTTAAGTTTGAATGATAAAAAAAGTTTTATCTTTTGAATATTTCAAATTAAAATATATTATTATTTGTTTAAAGTTAAATATTAAAATATATATGTTTGGATTAAATCTCTCTTGAAATCCCTATAAATAGTGAGCAAACCCATTAGGATTTACAGAACTCAGAATTCAAGAACTTTTGTTCTCTTGAAAAATATTTTCTCTCATTAGAAAATATTCTTTTTCTTCCTAGTTTTCTGACGATAGTCAAAGGCAAAGATTGCTCGTGATCTCTGTAGATGTGCTACTATAGCTAATCATATGTTGTTGTATCTTGTGATACAGACGTCCAATGAACTCAAGCGCCAAAGGAGTGGTCGAAAATCTGTCTTAAGGAAACTGTGTAGCGACATGCCTCAATTGATTCTGATATCAGCTTATCAAAATAAAAAAAAGTATTTTTATTTCTATTTAGTTTTGATTTACTTTATGAAGTTTAATTTCTTTGTTTGATTTTCTCAATTTTGATTTCATCTCATATTGTTACTCTGATCAACAATCTTAAGACAGTAAACTCGTTCATTCTCTTTAATTTTTATAATGATTTTTATTCATTATTATTTTTTACATCATTCTCGTATTAACGTGATATTTTTCTAACAATCTTAAGACATATTTTATTTTTTTATTTTTCGAGATATAATCGTTTGAGGTTAATCCTTGTTGTGTATAAGGGAAGTGCTAAAAATTCAACAAACAAATATTGGACAAAAATCAAGAGTAATTTACGCCAAATATAAGTTTCCTTCCATTTTTGAATTTATGAATTTCAAATTTTTTGAGGAATATTTTTGAATTTAATTTTAATGTGAGACATGGTTCTACTGATTTATGTGTAAGAATTCAAATAATTGGATTCCAAAATCTTTGTGGTTGCACACTTTGTGGGGGCACACCTTGAATCTTGATGTTTAGGTTTTGATTAACAATGGTAAAATTAATAATGATGACCAAGAATTCAAGTTTTGGTTAACAACGATGAAGTCAATCAGGTAGGTGAAATTTGAATATTTCCCTTTAATTTGAAACGATTCGTAGCTCTTTCTTTTACCTTTGTTTAATCTAAAACAATTCAGATATCATGATGAAACGAGATAGTAAACAAATTTGTTTCGAGATTTATTCTGTCGTCTTAACGGGTTTACTAAAATCTCAAAAATGGACAAATCTGTATAACATAAATAGTCGTGAAAGTAAATGTGGTTACTGATTTGTTTCAGAAATTAATTATGTCCAATAACAAAATAAAAAATAATTGAGAATTAATTCTCTTTATTGGAATCTTTGATTTCATGTTTGAAATCAATTGAGATTTTAATTTTTTTGGTTAACAGAATTATTTGATTACTATTTATTAATATAAATCGTTGGAAAGTAACAGTTATGTTACTGATTTGTTTTAGAATTTTAGTTCATGACTAAATTTTTTTGATTGAATAAATCAAAATTTAATTTTGGTTTATTGCTGGAATTAATAATTCAAACTTCGCATTAAACGAAATAATAGGTAATCTTAGCGATCACCTAATTCATGATTTGGAATATTGGTTTTCACTCAAACTTTGAATTAAAATTCAATGGTGTTAATGGTTGTAAATCATAACGAGAAACTTGAAAATTCATGATTGAATTTCAAAATGTTGTTTTATTTGGTTATGCTTAATTTGATCAAATATCGGATGATCCTCATATCATTTGAGAGGATGAGGTAAATGTTGTTACCGAATTCACTAAAGTTTAGAAGTATTATGACTTTTTATATTGGAAATACATCCTGAATGTATTATCGGATACACTATAAGGTGTATAATATCCATAAGGTATATAAAACAATTATAGATAACATTGGACCACATATACAAAACGGAAGATATTGTACTAATGAATTGTTAGTGACTAAGTTCTTAAAATTCGTAATAATGGTATAGACGAGAGAGGATAAATATTTTATTGCCTCCATTAGTTATAGCAAAAGTATTGTTATGTGTATCTGCTAAAAGAGCAAAGGCAAAGTTATAGAGAAATTTATTTTCTATAAACATAAAGTTTAAAACCAACTTAATAAATACATTAAGGTGGTAAGACGTGATTGTGCACAACATGACATTATTCACGAAGTGACATCACTACACTCTCAAAAAATAAATGGAGTTAGCAAAGCATGAGAATTAAACCTTAAAGGAAACAATGAACGCAAAGCTAAGAAGTTCTGAGTTGTCACAGAACATGTGAGAGAGAGAGAAGTTGTTCTGTCAACTAATAACCTTTTAAATAAGGTCCCCAGGAAAGAAAAAGAAAAAGACACCAAATGAGTTATAAGAAGGCTAAAAACCTATGTCATGCAAATACTTGAAAATGTAGGGGTGTCCTGAAAAGGTAATTGTCATATAACCAAAACAAGCGAAAATAAGTCCTAAACAATGGCTTGTATTTTCTTTAACTATCATATTATCTAGAAAAATAGACCGATGCTAGTTAGAATTTGATATTCAAGATATCAACAACACAAGTGAATATATGTCACATTAGAAGGAAAAGTCATGTTATAGAAATCCTTAAGAAAATGATTATAACTAGATTTATAGTGAAATATGAGTTTAAAGCCCTATATAAGTCTGGAGAATAAGCTACGTGTGAAATTGAAAAACGCTAAGTATTTACTTAGTGAGGCATAATAATGTAAATGAACTGAATTCATACATAAGCATATCATGGCTATTGAAATACAAACTAAATTGTATACTTCATCAAAATCAATTAACCATCTCAGTTAAACCAAATTTCTTTCATGTAGACATTGAAATTATTCTTAGTATGCCAAACATACCTATTTTCTGTATATATTTTTTACAAATATCTTTTATTTTGCCCAATGTATGTTAAATAAGAAATGTAAAATACATGCACTGCACCGAAGTGTTGAAATGGTCATTCACCTTTTATGAATACCATGAGTGGCACCTTTTATGTCGAAATGCACCGTTATGCATTTAACTTTAGCACCCTCGATAACCATTGAACAACATCAATATCCATCCATTCATTTTAGAGCAGTTCATACTCTAAAACTTATTCATAATATCATTTCTATACAATTTATAAGAATTTATCAAATACTGTAAAACATACATTGAATCAAAATATTAGAGGTGACTCACTGCGAGTCTTCCTTATCTCATATAAATACAATAAATGCACTCACCTAATATGCTCAGCTGTTTGGTAACTTTATTTTTGCACTTTTTATTGATTGACTCTATAACATGGTTATGATCTACACAAGCATCCATTATTACACATACCATACAATTATTAGTATACTTTCTAACATTTATTTCTTTAATAATACTTAAAAAGTACTAATATTTTTAATTTCTATTAAAATTCATCCTATCTTAAAATTTCAGGATTAATAGTATCGGTACCCCTACCATGGTATCGATACTTCTATTCTATGGTAT